CTTGTTGCTGCATTATTCGTGAGGCGGGTGAGAGTGGGCTCAAGCGTGTCATGGCCGCCCGTTGCAAGTTGCAAGAGAGAACGGGCTCCAACCCACAACCAACCAACCCCCCCTTGCCCTTGCTTGTCAGACAGAGCGATGCAGGGAAAATGCTGCGCCTTGCCGATCGTTGCTGCAATTGCGTCGGGGTGTGCTGGATGTGATGTAATGTAGCTTCCCCTCGTCCTTTGTTGTCCTGATAAGCTATAAGATGGCCCATCCCATCAGGGAGGGGAGGGCTCTGTGCCTTTTTTTTTCTTTTTTCTTTTTTCCGCGTGTCAAACTTGCGCAGGGGCTCGAGGATGCTACAGTGCCAAGGGCCAGTCACCAGGCGGTACCTGATATGGCAGGCGTGGACATGGACAAGCTAACCAGTCCCAACTCTGACAGGTGGACAACAGTCTACTCAAAAGGGTTATGTATACGGACATGCAAAGGTGGACTTGGCAAATCGTGACTGCGAGGCCTCTCCCGCCTCTTGGGTTGTCTAGACGTGATTTCCCTTGCACAGCTCTACGTAGTAGCTTGGCTCGCTGTATCTATGTAGCGAGGCGACGGAACAGATAAATAAACAAGTACGACCTTATCCCTAGAAATTATGTTTATGCGGCTCCTTGGCCGAACAAGTGCTTGCTTGGCCGAGGAACAAGTCAAAACCTAAACTTGTTCAAGAACCGGTCCACGCAGCCATGCGAAACAGGCTTTTGGGGCATCCGAATCCAAGTCGATATTATGATGGGCGAGCGAGGCAAGGCCCGTATTTGACTTGTCCCTGATTCGGTCGGTCGGAGTCCGTTTTTTTTTTCTCATGTCGTGCAGCATGGGATTCTTTGGCCGCCCGGCTTCCTCAGCTCCGATGGATATTTTCTTTGCTGCAAAATTACGATGGGGGGCAGCACATGGCCCGCGTGCAGCCGGTGCTGGAGTGAGTGGAGTGAGTTGACTTATGAATGGTGGCTCCAGGTCCGTTCCCCAGCTTGGCTTTCAAGCCACGTTTCCCCCCACTGGCATCATGCAGGAAGGAAAAGAGAAGAGGCAAGAGAAAAAAGAAGCCCGAGGAGGAGGAGGAGGAGGAGGAGGAGGAGGAGGAGGAGAAGAAAAAAAAAACGGGCTAGCCTTTTGTCGGTAGCGGATGTACTGTTCGAGTTTCCAAGGAGGCTGATTTGTTTGAGATGGAGATGTTGATTGTGGGTATGGCCAGGGAGAGACTCCGTGTAAACTGCGCCGCCTCTTGAAGCGGCGACAGGGTTGTCACTCACAAACCCGTTGACATGTTGTCGGTTAAAAAGGGCCCAAGTGGGAAGATGGAAAATAACAAGAACCATGGTTCGTTACTAGGATCGCCAACTAACTACATAGTTGGCTAATAATACGCCGCGCGCTCAGTTCTGTCCGAGGAGTGAGGAGCAAATGTGCCTCTCCATGTAGGGACCCAACTCACTGTACACAGCCCGGCTTCCTGGTGGGGGCTGATTGGCAAAACGTCTTCGGCCTCGGCCGGGGGGCGCAACGAGAGAGTGGGTTGTCGTTTGTTTGCTGTATCCATCCATGAATCCATGAATCCATGACCGTCGAGAAGACGAGCATACGACCAAGGCTTATTGGTTTTTCTGGTGCTCCTTTGCTGGGTTTTTAATCAAGGAGATTGGTCTGCGTAACCGTCATGTTGAGGTGCTGCGAGTAACCGCAATCAATCAACAGAGTAGCGGCCGCGAAAATCCTCTGCCAAGGGACCGGGGGAGCGGATGAGCACGCTCAACACAGAGGGCCTCATTGTCCACGGAACCGGCGGGTGGGTGCAGGGCAGGTGGGTGGGTGTAGAGGCAGGAAGGCAAAGGGAAAGGCGGAAGAGGTGGGTGGAGAGGAGCGGAACCGGCTGGTCGGCGGCGATCTGGTGATTCAGACATGTGTCTTCAGTCTTTGCACTTGACTGAGATTGTGGTAGGTGTTACTAGTAGTAGGCTGGTCAAGATGGTTGTCGCCGTTGCTACCCAATTGGTGGATGCAAGTCAATGGTTGAAACAGACAGCGACGACTGAACAAGTCGTCGAGTCGAGCTGAAGAAGACGCGAACCGGTTTCTAAAAAAAGAAAGACGTGGGAATACGCACGAGTGTTAGCATTAGAGTGCAAGTGTGCAGATGAAGCGCCAAAGATGATGGTGGCGTTGTCCTTGATGGTCGCTAATACCAGGACGGATAATAACTGCAAGGTAATTGCAGGGCCAAGGAGACGAGAAAGGTGAGCAAGGGGGGGAGAGGAACGCGGCACTCACTCCTCATTCACTCCAACACGTCCAGTGAAGGACGGCCGTTTCTGTTGGTGCACGGATGCATTGGGCTGAGAAGGCTGGCTGGCTGGATTGTGGCTGGTGGGTATTTCGCATGACGGAGCTTAAATAAATTCTCCTTTTTTTTCTCTCCTCGCCGTTTTCATTTTCTTTGTGCTTGATCATTATTAATAATTGCAAAATTGACTTTTGTACACAGCCATTGTAATGAGCTCATGTAAGTCGATGGCTCTGACTGTGTCGTCTGTGCAGATGACCAAAAGAGTTATTCGTATGTAATAAACTAGTGAGAATAAATATTTCGAATCATGGACATTTCTGCAGACTAGGTTTGCGAGTAATCAAGGTCAAAGAGACAATAATTTAATTAATTGCGCTGGGATGTGATAACAAAGGCCCAACTCATCAGTATTCGTCATTCGTTGGATGGTGTCTCGGGCGTCGTCGACAACAGCAAAGTTGCGCATCGCAATAATCTGCATACTGCCATTGGCCATTGGCCATTGGCCATGATGCCTGTCCGCGTCCTTTTTATTTATTCAGTTTTTTGTGCCTGGCTGAGCGCCACGGGGATATGCGTTGCACATCTCGACGCCACAATGTACCTGGGCAGGTGGCTTAGCCTACGTCCGTAACAAGTAAGGCACCTTGGTGGTTACCTGTTAGCGTACAAGTCAGTTACCAGGAGTACCTGTAAGTTTACTGGTCGGGGCACACAGAAAAGGACGGCGCCGCCCCCCTTGCACTTGCACTACGGCATCGGCAGTGTCTCGACTGTCTCCGTTCCGTCAGTAATTTCACTTGAAAGAAGACGGATATTGGTAGATGCAAATGGGCGCAATAGGGAATAAATATCACTTATTGCAATTTCCTTGCCTGCCAACTTTTGCAGCTTTTTGCTTGGTGGTCGCTGTCTGCCCGCGCGGTTCATCCAGCCACCTGCCAGTCCGCCCATCCTCCCATCCGCCCGCCACGCTGTGTCCGTCGGCAGTTTCCTTGGGAAAAAAAAAAAAAAAAAAAAAAAAACTACAGCGCTCACGCCCACGCCATGAAGACGGCAGCTACCACCAGCAGTAACTAGCCTAGTATGTACCTATCCCTACCAGTAAACCAGTACGAATAAAGGCTGCTGCCACACCCCTGGCACGCCCTCCCAGGCCACAGCCCCCTCTGCCCCCCTGTAGCCTGTAGCCACCCCATGCCCATCCAGGGCAAAAAGAGGCAAGGCCTTGGGCCCCTCCCGGTCTCCTCCCATCCCCTCCTTCCTCCTTGTCTGCCCAGTCAAAACGCACTACGGATCCGTAACTAGGACCATGGTCCCCCAGGTAAAGAGGCCTGTCTAGGTATCATCCATATCCCCTCCCCTTCCACACAGTCATTAAATTGGCATGGACAGAGCAGAACGGAGCAGAACAGAGCAGAACAGAGCAGACGCAAAGAGCACTGACAGCGCTCCTACCCAGGGCCCGCGCCGCTTAATTCCTCTTTCTTGCCCCCCCCCCCCTCCCTTCCTTGTAGCGGGTACTTTGACTTTGTCCCGTTGGACTCTGGGGAGCGAGCTCCAGGGCCCTCTCATCTCTCACCACACACCTCTCCCGGCCGTTCCTTGCTGCCTGCCTTGCTTCCTCCCGTCCTTCTGATTCGTACGGCTACATACATACTTGACCTCTTCCCATTCTTCTTTCTCGTGAGCCCGTCTTGGAATTCTTCCCTTCTTCCTTTTCCCCTTCGTCTGCAGCCTGTACGGTACCTACATACTTGGACTTGTCGCACCCCGTCCCTCCGGCCTCTGTCTGTGTTTGTTCCCGACCTCACACACTCACGCCACCCTCCTCCCCAGCAGGGACGCAGCAACAAAACAAAACGCACATACACACGGACGGACACAACAACACACACACACACACACCAGCCAGCACAAAGCACACACCACAACACACCTTGTCGCACACCTTCTCTCACTCACACCACTGCCGTTTGCCGTTTACCTGCCCTCTACCTACCTCCTACAGTACCTTGCTGCTCTGTTCTGCTCGCTCCTCGCTGGCTCGCCCGCGCTAATCTGTACCTACAATACATACGTCGTACTTCGTACTTCTGCCTCTTCCCTGCTCTCTCACCTCACACTATCCTCCACTCCATCTTCTCTCTCCTCCTTCTCTCCTCCTCCCCTCTTCCTCTCTCAACATCGGCCGGCCCTGTCTCGCCATATTACCCACGCGAGCCCCCTCGATCATCGAGCCTGGGCCTCGCCTCGCCTTGCATCACCTCTCTCCTGCTTCATGCTTCTTGCTCCCTCGCTCGCTTTCACTACCACCGTTTCTTTCGTTCACGCCAGCCCTCGCTCGCTTCGCTCTCTGGGATCCCGACACCCTCGGATTTGCTCTCGTCAACTCACCAATCTACTTTGCCTCCGCCGCCCATCTTCCATAATCCGCCTGTCGCTCTAGCTACGCTCACTTCTTGCTCTATACCCTCGCTCGTTAGCTCTTACTTATCAACGCTCATTGCGCTGACCCTCCTGTCGCCCAAGCACCCTCGACTTTCTCGACAACTGCCCGTCGACGCATACTCAACCTCGATACGACACCGTCTCCAATCCAGTCCGCTCATCGGTTTTGCTTAGCCAATACTCAGCCATCAATGTCAAGGTGACTTGACCCCAAGCCGCGATGGATCAGTCACAAAATCACCAGCTGCAAGGGCACTCTTCCCCATTGCCAGGACAGCCACAGCAAGACTCTCAGCTCGACCCTGCCGCCCAAAATGTTCTTGCCGAAGCTCGAAAGAACCTCCAGGTCCTCATCGACTCCGGCATCTCCAAGGATCTGCTGCATCAGTGGGTAGAAGACAGCCCTCCTTTGCAGCTCAACTTTCCTATCCAGTCCACCCTCGCCGCCAGCCAACAGTCAAACGTACTTCAGATCCCCCCTCAACCTCAGGGGCCGCCGCCCCCGCCGCCTTCGCGATCGCCCTCCGCCCTACCCTCCCACGGCTCCTTCTCCTCGAATGCCAGCGCATCCTCGCCCTCGACCGCCTCGTCAACACCGACACCTACCGGCGGACTTCATACCGAGATCAAGACCGAGCCCAGACAAGACACGGCTACCCCGACCTGGAACCCCGCCATGCATGCCTCTGCGACTCCTTACTTGGCCATTCCTGAGCAGGCCGATAGCACCGTCTTCTTGCCGCCGTCCTACCCCTACGCACATCGCACCAGGATGTCGGTTTCATCCACCAGCTCCGGCTCCTCTGGTCACGCCTCGCTCTGGTCCGTCAATTCGGCGCGCTCTTCCATGTCTTGGCAGTCCGGCATCAGCGCTCGATCCATGGGCCCCCCTCTAGCTTCAGCCAGTGGCGCACCCGTCATCAACGGCTCTCAAGTGACGCCCTCGAGTGGCAACAAGCAAAATGTCTACTGGTGCACCTCGTGTGAGACTAGCTTCAAGCGCAAGTACGACTGGAAGCGACACGAAGACGAGTTTCACGAGCGCTGGAGAAAATATCCTTGCCCAGAACCCGGATGCAACCGCAGCTTCTGGGGCTCCAACTCATTCAACCAACACCACAAACAGTGCCACGGATGCAAAACATGCCCCCACGCCGAAAAAGTCGTCAAGTTTCTGCGAAAACGCAAGTACTGGGCTTGTGGCTTTTGCTCCGCTCTTCACCCGGCCCGCGAACGCCATGTCGAGCATGTTGCACGCCATTTCGAGTCTGGTCTAGGCAAAAACGACTGGATGCACTCACGCGTCGTCTATGGCCTCCTTCACCAGCCGCTCATTCATACTGCCTGGGACACGTTGGTCGCGGAAAAGCACACTTCCTACGGAGGCAGACGACCACAATTTAGTTGGCACCCCAGCAAGACTGGCCGCGCCCAGGGCTTCCTTGAGAAGGAGAGCCCCGGCCAGCTGCAAGATTTGTTAGAGTTCTTCTCCGGTGATGAGGCAGAAGCGCAATGGATCGTCTCCGTCGCCTACGACCTGGCAGATGTTGTCATGACCAATAGCGGCAACGTCCAGTCGCCCAGTCCTTCCCCCTCTCAGCAAGCAGCCGCCTCTCAACAACAGCCGTTTCCGCAAGACAACTCCATGGGCCAGATGCGACCGCCCTCCATGCTTCCGTCCAGCACAACTCCTGACCCGAGTCAAGCTGCTTTCGGCTCTTCTCAGTTCCGGACACCCAGCATGTTCCCCCCCGCTCAGCAATTCCAGGTTCCTCGCCAGTCCCCAGACTCGTCCTCAAATTCGCCTCTTGCCATGTCACCTCCAGTGTTGGCGTCGCAAGCGAACAACTATGACAAGCGCGAACTCCCCCCTCCACCGCCATTTCCACAGGCAAACGGTGACGCCATGATGGACTTTGAGTACTCTCCCGCCCCGGGTGGCGGCTTTGGAGACTGGGCAACCATGACCAACTCGATGCTCGCAAGCACACCATCACAATCAGGACAAAGTACTGCACCGCAAGCTGGTGGTGGTGATTGGGGCATGATGGGCTACTTTCCCGATCCTCGCGTCACCTCTGCCTGAGCCCCCCAACACCTTTGATAAATATCTTCGTTTATACTTGTTTCATCATATACACACGTTCGGCGATCACGCCATCTTCCTTTGTCACGAACTCGCCAACATGCCGGCGAAAGGAATCGCACCTTGCATTTTTCAGCTCTTCACTATACTCACCACGGGAGCGCGTCGCCCCTACCTGCTCTGATGATTTTACCGACGTCGACGTCTAGACAGACACTTGCTTTTACACTGCACGCATTTGGTGCCTTTTTTTTATACAACATGTACAGATAATGACTAATATCCGCTGCGCTTTTGGGAGAAAATAAGCCGGTATAGGATGTTTTCTTTAGGGGTTACTTGGATCTGACAAAAGTGCATGGCTTCCCTTTCTTTATACAGGGCCTTTCTTTGCTCGGGGTTTCTTTTGGATTTGGTCCTTTCTCATTTAAGCTTTTTCTGCATTGGCTTTTTCTTTGGCTTTTTGGCTATTGGTTGAACATAGGTGCCTTTTGGTTGTACATTAGTCTAGGTAGATAGCTTGCTCATTGTCGAACAAGTCTCTTGAAACACCTAATTATACTTTGTGTGGCCTGATGGTTAGCTTCCTCATGGGTGTGTCGCATGATAAAGCCTTGGGTGACGTGATGAGTCTCAAGCGTCTCTGCATAGCAACCAATACTGGCCCCAGCACGGAAAGCGTCCGCATGCTACCGCAACACCAAGTTGTACAAAGCGGCGGGGTATCTTGATTGTTATATTATCTTTCATTGACTGTAAACAACTTGTGGGCCTCATTTTTGTCTTGTATTGAGTGTCCCTGCTCTGATACAAATACGTTGTTGGCCGGTTGCTCCGAGGCACAGCTTGTTTGTTGGGCAATGCTGACGTATTCCTCTTGTTCTCGAAAGCCCCCCTGTTGTGGCCAGAGGTAACGCAACACTTGCATTTACGGTTTTACGAAATGCGAATAAGGTCATGGGACGGCTCTGTACAGCATACAAAAGCCATGCTCGAGGCTGGACAATATCCTTTCCGAGTTTGTCGGACACGGCGCTTAAGCTGGTGCGAGGGCAACTTGGTCGAGTATATATACCTGAGCCATCTGCTCTAAACTTGAGAATGTTGTTCTTGAGGGCATGAAAACCGGATCGCGAGAATCTTCAGCACACCTGGATCGGTTCGCGGCATGCGCATCTTGGTCACGAACGACAGCCAACGACGACAGTTTAACAAACGGAAACCCCAAAAAAAAGGGCGAGCACGCTAAGTAGAAGAGGAGAAAATGAACAGAGAACAAAAAAGAATGGCATATTATCATTACACGTGGGACGGCACCATGTACCAGCCGAACTGCCCTAGCTGGATGCGTGATCCGCCGGAGGCCTACGTCCCGGGCCTTCATCCCCCGACATCCGGGTACCCGCCGGGCACGATGCCGCGCCGCGGGCCCGCAGTCGTCGAAAGGACGGCACAGGAATACACGTACACGGATTACCGGGGCTCACACACCACGCAGGAGACGCACACTTACTTAAATGGAAGAGGAGTTGGCAGAACCTTTGGGACTTGTCACCAGCCGCCGCCGCGCGTGCGTTCCCAGAGCTCGCACCCCGCCCCCTCGCGACATCCCGAGCGGGAGCGGCAGTCTTCCTCGTGCAGAGGACAAGAGTACATAGCCACCGAGACGCAACATGAACGACCGGACGACGGGTACCGGCGCCCGCGCGCCTCACACGAGGGGCCACCTCCGCGGCCGCAGCCACGTCCTCCTCCAAATGCATACGAGCGCCACCGGCCGTCGCGGGAGCAGGAGCACCGGGGGCGTCCGGAGGGCTCCTCGCGTTACAGGGAGGCGCCACGCGCCCGCTCCCAGTCCAGGGCGCACGGCGGCAGCGGGTCTCGTCGAAGCGAGGAACCGCCCGAGCAGTCGTCGCACCGGCAGCGGCGGTCTTCGCCGTCGGCCCGTGCGCCTCCCGGCCCCAACCGCGACCCCCGAAGATCAGGGCGCCTCCCGGCCCCAACCGCGACCCCCGAAGATCAGGGCACGGCGTCAGGCATGTGCCGGCCGACGACGAAAGGGATGACCGGCGCGGGCGCGGGTCTCGTGATCGGCCGTCGCGCGGACGCGAGGATCGGTACGAGTACTCGCCAGACCGGGGGGGGTGGAGGCCGCCGACGGCCGCTCGCCCGCCGAGTCCGCCTCCGCCCGCGCCCACCCCACCGCCTGCAGTGAGCCGAAAAGAGCTGAGAGCGGAGGAGCGGCGGGCGGAGGCGGGCGTGAGTACATGAGCGGCGAGGACCGGCCCGGCAAGCTCGGTGGGAGGAGTGTAGTGTGCCGGAGGGATGGCCAGACAGCAGGCGAGAGCCACTGCTCGCGAGAGGACGGCAAGCGGCGATAGGAAACACGACGAGGTTCATTTTTGCCTGTGCGAGTTGGAGCTTCGTTCCCGGTCCATAATGCGGCAGACTTGTGCGTGTTTTGCTCGCGGAGAACACGCAAGGGAAATCAATCGTCATGCGCTGAACAGCCGGCGAGCTGGTCTTGGAGGGTTGGACGGACATTGCGGAGCTGGTAAATGCTGCGCTTATTGGAGCGTGTTGCTGAGAATGTGACAAGTCTGCATGGGGAGTTGATGAAGGTTGCGCTTCTTTTGTTTTGACACGAAATTGTCTAGTGTCTTTTGACAGTTTTGTTAGCTTCTGCTGTTTTGCGCGCCCAAGGCTATCGTGGGTCATGCATTTCTTCATCAAATGATGGCAGGAGTAAACAATGAACTGCAATGGTAGCTAGTATTGATGCTATTAATATACTTGATTTGTTTTTTTATTTACATGCTTAGTTCTTGAGGAATACAGAAAGCAGCTTGGCGTAGTTGGGAGTGCCGAGGCCGGTGACGGGGTCCCAGCCCGGAACGGCGGAGAAGCCGTTGTTGCCGCACTCGCTGGGGGCGCCGTCGCCGTTGGGACCGCCGAGGTGCTGGTCTCCGGAGGTGATGTCGTTGAACATGCCGGGATTCTGGTAGAGGGTGGGGTTGAGGAAGCCGAGGGGGCCCTGCTTGCCGGCCTTGATGCGCTCGTTGATGATGCGGTTGATGAGGGCGGCGAAGATGGGGGCGGACTGGGAGGTGCCGCCGCTGGTGCCCTCGCGGCCGTTGACGACGACGACGCCGTACAGGCCGTTGGCGGAGACGTCGGGGTAGCCGCGGCCGGCGCGGTTGTAGATGCCGCCGTTGTTGGGGATGGTGCCGTCGGTGGTGTTGTACGACTTGTAGCCGGGGTCGTGCTGGGAGAAGTAACTGGAGAGAAGGTGAGGTTAGTCAAGTCTTGAGCGTAGTAGAAGCGAAGTGAGAAGCGTGACTTGCGTGGCGAGCGCAGCCTTCTGGTAGTCGGGAGCGGCGTTGACGTTGCTGAAACCACCACCGGACGAGAAGCGGTCCATGACGGCCGTCTCGGCATCGCCGGGGCTGGATCCGGCGGGGAGCTGAGTGGCGCCGACCGAGGTGATGTACGGGCAACCGCCGAGAACACCGGGAACGAAGACGTCCTGGTTGCTGCCAAGGCACTCGCGCTCACGGCTGGCAACGCCAGAGTCTCCGGAGGAGATCAGGACAGAGACACCCTGAAGACCGAGCTTCATCCACTCGTTGCATTGGCGCTGTTGGACAGTGACGGGTTAGTCGGCTTTTCGATGCTGTTGTAATCAGGGACAGACATGAACTGACCTTGACGTAGCTGGCGCTAAAGTCGGCCTCGTCGACACCGTACGAGATGGAGATGACGTTGGTGGACTTGTACTTGCCGCACTCGCCGCTGTCGTTGCAGTAGGAGCCGTCGAGGGCCTCGAGGAGAGGGTCGAAGAAGCTGAGGGCGTCGTCGGGGACGCCGACCTCGTAGTTGACTGTGCCCTGGGGGTAGATGATGGGGACGGCCATCTCGTAGTCGAGGTCGGCCTCGCCGCTGTCCTGGGTACCGGACTGCTGGTTGACGGGCGCGTTCTTGGGCGCGGTGCCGCGCGGGACGTAGCTGGCGTACTTTGCGTAGAAGGAGTTGAGGTCCGACTGGATGTACTGCTCGCCGGCCTCCTCGTAGATGCCGAGGTCGTTGGAGGCGTCCTTGAGGGTGCCCTGGCTGAAGTTGTACATGGAGCGCAGGCAGGTCGGCGTGATCTTGGTCGGGCAGGTCGACGCGCTGACGGCGAGGGTCTGGTCGAGCGGCCAGAAGGGCACGCTGGGCAGCTTGCGCTGGATCTTGTCCTGGGCGCCGAGGGCGACGGCGGGCTGGACAAAGTCGACGTGGTCGGCGACGGAGCTGGGCAGCTTGTACGTGTCGGTGCCGATGTAGGTGCCCTTGCGGGTAGGGTGGCTGTACTGGCTGTACTTGGCGTCGAGCAGAGTCTCGAGCTTGCCAGTGGTGGTCTCAAAGGTGAGCCAGCCCTTGTTCTGGCTGAGCTTGATGCCGTCGGCGGGGATGCCGCTGGCCACCAGCCAAGACTTGACGGTATCGACCGTCTCGGTCTCGGGAGCAAAGGTGGAAACGACCTGGTCCTCGGTGTAGTGCTTGCCGTAGTCGGCCGAGTTGGGGTCGGAGCTGGGAGGCAGGTCAGTCACGGTTATTCAGACGAGTTCAAGGGGGTACACTGCACTTACACCTTCAGCAGCAGGTCCATGGCATTGTCCAGGTTGCGCTGCTTGAGAGCGATACGGACAGGCACGCGAGTGTTGGAGTCGGCGGCAGCGCCCTTGGTGTAGCCAACGTGAGTGGCATCTCTCGACTCATGAACCACCATCTTGGAGGCCGGGGCAGCCAGGGCCGCCGTGGCAAGCGCAATGACGCTGAGCTTCATGACTGGTGATTTGAAAGAGGCTGTTGGGGAGTAGATTGAAGATGCTTGGTGTGCTTGGCCAACTACACAAAACCAGGCGATGGCAGCCACCTTTTATATCTATCTGCTCTTGGCACGGATATAAATCTCGAGGTCCGTCGCTTGGCAGACAGACTCTCTACCATCCTTCCCCCGCTTCAACGCGGAGAACAATTCCGCTCGTATCCTATCTCGATTATAAATGAGTCTATAGAAATAGAACTGCCTGGTCAGCCTACCTTCTCGAATCATGTTAGCCCTGCTGTCATTGTTACGGTGCTAATGTCGCCGGAGATTTAGTCCGTGAGGAGTATCTGCCCGTTTAGGAAGTCGGAATCTATGGTTGTATCGAGAGGAATCATGAGCTGGTTATCGACGAGCACGTGCCGGTGCGAGCAGTCGGCCGTGCGCCTCCAAGTCACACGGCGTCGCCAATTCGTCAGATCCAACGCGCGCTACTTGAATTAGCAGTATAATCGAAACCACAAATATCGAATTCCTGCTCATGAAAGCTGCTTGGGAAATGAGACCGAAATCTGGTGGCGGCTGCCAAGTGTTCAAGTCTAAATTTAAGCAATCGACGATCGCCAAGCTGTCATTGTGTGGCCGAGACAATGGCCTGGCAGGGCGAGCTAGAGACAAGAGACATGCCCAATGCAAGCAAACTCCAACAAGCAAAATAGACAGCGAGCCACTCGGCGAGACGCTATCTCGCCAAGTCGGGGCCAGAGGATCAGCAGCCGAGGCGACCTAGCCTTCAAAGTTGCCTATTTAGGAAGGCAACTTGCCAGTCTATGGGCTGAAGATTGGGTGCATCCAGGAATAGCAAGTTAGCAAAGGCACAATGCTGCAGAAACCCCACTGAATATTACATGTTAGGGTGTCTTGACGTTGCATCGGCGTGCCGTCTTTGCCAGAGGCTCACGGCCTGCCTATAACCTGAAAATAGATGCTAGCTGAATAGATACCTTCCATGAGGTCGCCAACCGTCGCTTTGGGTCGGCAATTCTCTCTCGACGTCAAAGCTCCTGCTTACGCCGTTGTAGTTTAATGTAATCTCTTGCTATGAATGAAAATGGTAGACGATTTCCTGTTCACGTATTGCGTGCACTCCGGCAAAACTATAATAAATGCCACAAGTTAGAATGGCTACAGGGTAGCTTCAAAATGTGTGAGCGCACCGAGTAGTCTCTGTATCTATTTACAAAGTGCAGACAACTCTCTTGCTGACAAACAAGGTTCTAGTATTTTCTTCGTATAAAATGCTTTTGCTAAATAGCAGGAATAACTGTAGATGCTTTCCCAATACGCCATCTCCTGTTATGAGTAATACGTCAAACCATGACAAAAAAGAAACCCGTCCAGTGTTCGCTCATGGCGTGTACCCATATACCCCGCGAATAGAACAAAAGAAACCAAGAAAAATAACGACTAGAGAGCTTTGATTGGGCTTCGCGAGTACTTGACTGGGCTCCTAGCCCGCTCGCCCTTGCTCGGGCTCCTGCGCCCGCTTGGTGTGTAATGTGGCAGCATCAACGGTGTCGCTCGTGGGAGGGAGCTGTCGGTATCAGATCCATCTTCCAGTAAAGCGTGTCGCTTCATCCGTGGCGTCTGAACGGGCATCCACATGACACCAGAGTCGTCGCCCATGCCGTTAGCACTCTTCACTGGCTCCCGGTTATACGGCGCTGCGTGGCCGCCATTGGAACCGCGACCGAGAACCAGATTGTTTCCGAACACGCACAGGATGATGACGGCGAAGAAGAACCCCTAGTCATGTCAGTATGTTTGAGCTTTGAAGAGACGCGGCAACAATACTCACCCATGCCTTGAAATTCATCGCTTCTGAGAATTCGTTGATAATCTCGGCGATTTGCTTCGCCGTAACCTTGACTCGCATAATCGACTCTGGGTTCTGTACCATGCAGTCGTACCACTTGTCGCACTGAGACTGAAAGAAGGGCCTATCATTGGTCTCGCAACCATTGTCCTTCCAGTGTTTTGTGCACTCTGCAATTGAGCTCAGGATTTCTAGGCGAGCGCCCTCGTTCGCGTTCCGAATGTCAGAACGAATCGTCGACACAATGGACCACCCGACACCAATCACGGTTGTGGCCACTAGCATGTTGATGAAGAGCTGAATCCACCGATGCAGATTTTCAGGTGCATTAGGATGTTCGTCGAGCATGTGAAAGATGGAGCCTAAAAATCCGCGCTGCTGCCGCCTGCCTTGGCCCTTTTGCGCTCTGCCTTCGGACCAGACAGACGCATCCGTTTCGCCTTCCGACTCATCGTTATCCTGATAGCGCACAACGCTGCTTACGTCGCGGTCGAGGTTGTGTCGCTTCCGCTTCCGCGGAAGGGCTGCGCGTGACGAGTCTCGGCTGTTCCTAATCTCGCCCTTGCCCGAGGTGTGTTTCTTTTCGCGCAGATATCGGCCGTAACGTGCCGATTTGCTGACCTTGGTTGGAGTAATGACGCCTCCCATAAACACGTCGCCCATGTGGTCCACGTCCGGAGTGTCGTTCGGCATATCGGACGCTTCTGTGGGGGCTGGGCTATCTTCTGCCCCGGAGGCTTCAGAGAGAACTGTTTCTTCGAGCGGTCTTCGCGGCGTCGTGAAAGCTGGGTTACGGAAGGGAGGTGCGGCACTTTTAGGCGGAATATGAGGTGCGAAACGGGTCACCGACGGCGGCTGTGGTTTGGCTGAGGAAGGGACGCTTGCAAATGGATTTGGACGCCCATTTCCTTTAGAAGGGGATGAGAAGCCACCTGGACATTGTTAGCAGAGCTCGGTCGACTGACTGCTGCAAGCAGGCGTCGCCAACTGCCGCGAGGGGCCGGCCAGGTCACGTACTGAAGCCCGTGTTTCGTTGTGCGACTTGCGTAAAGGGACTGGAAGGGTCGCAGGGCGCAATGCCACTGTATTCCCATTCCATGTGCCCCTCGCCGCTGCGATGATTCATGATGGCTGATTGACGAGGATGGCTTTGGGTCGCTGCTAGTGCTGGAGTGATAAACGGCCACCGTTGAGAAAACGCGGCGGCGATGGAAGTACTTTCGCCTTTATTTTCCCAAGCAACCACATGTGGCAAGTAAACAAATGCTTCCAGAAGCTAGCGGAGGTATGTGGCTTGTGAAGCTTGTAGCTGTGGCTGACGCTGTGGCGTTTGATTAGGTCAGCTTTTTTTTCCAAGGCGCTTGCTCCTTGTTAGAGCAGCCGCCTCGCGCCCATTGTTAGCCATAATCTCGAACCCATCATCGACCTAGGCTGCGCATTGAATCAACAACGCGTTGTTGATATCTTGATCAGGGAGCCGTCTTTTAATATTTCAATACCCATCTTCCTTCCTTCCAACAAGTTAGGCGACGGCTGGCATCATGTCGGAAAACGGCTCGCTTGCGGGCTCGCCTGCAGCGATAGACCCTCCCGTTAACGATGGGCAGGAGAAGGAATTCGAAGAGGAGGTTGCAGCTGCGGAGTCTGACAGGGACTCCGACATGCTGTCCGAAATCGACGAAGATCAGTTTGAAGACTACGATCCTGAGACGGCCAACATTGAAGACCGACCCGTTGACATTGATGAAGATGTTGCTCGAACGCTCAAGGTATCGAAACGAAAACGAATAGAAGGACAGCCCAAGAAGCCTCGAGAAGGTCGACGTGAAAAGAAGAGACGCGACCGTGACACCGATGTCGCAATGGAGGATGCATCTGATGGGGACCAGGAGCGCAAGCCTCGACGCCGAAGAGCTGCGGCCGAGGGCGACCGGGCTTCTGGGGCAGCTCGAACTAAGCAGACGTCGCCGGCGGCAGAAGATGATGAAAATCTCTCGCCAGAAGAGCGGCGAAAGCGTGCCATTGACAGGGCACTTGATGCGGCCATCAAGAAGGGCGGGTCATCATCTACGAGACGACGGAAGAAGGATGAAATCGTATGTGAAATTTGGACTGCGAACCTGATAATTTATGCCTAACTTGGGAAAAATAGGACCTGGAAGACGAAATCGACGAACAGTTGGCCGATCTGAAAGTGCAGATGGAGAAGGCCTGTTTGGCTGACAACGAGGCCCGACGCGTCGGGCAGCCGGCGCTGCACAAGCTCAAGCTTCTGCCGCAGGTGAACGCAATTCTGAACCGAAACAACGTTCAACACGCAGTGTTGGACCCCGATACCAACTTTTTGCTGCATGTCAAGTACTTTTTGGAACCTCTGAGCGACGGCTCTCTGCCAGCGTACAACATCCAGCGCGATCTGTTCACGGCGCTTACCAAGCTCAACATCGAGAAGGAGACGCTGCGCAGCAGTGGGATTGGAAAGATTGTTCTATTTTACACCAAGAGCAAAAAGCCAGAGGCGAGCATCAAGAGGATGGCAGAGAGGCTGCTGGGCGAATGGAGCCGCCCTATTTTGAAGAGGACGGATGATTACAAGAAGCGCCATGTCGAAACGCGCGAATTTGACTACCAGTATGTTTTTCTTGCACCTTTTCCCTTGCCGCGAGAGGAACCTGACCGGGACATGCCCTACCATTTTCCGAGTTGTTTTGGACTGTATTTACTAACACGACCTTTTTAGTGCGGCCAAACTACAGCAGCGCCAAAAGGCTGGCTCACAGTTCAGTCTCACACAGCGGCCGGCGCAGTCGGCTGCCGAAGTTGAGAAGGAGAGGCTGCTGGCGCCTTCGCGGGCGAACAACGAAGCACGCATGGCCAGCCTGCCGTCTAGCTATACCATTGCGCCAATGAGCACCTTTGATGGCAACCGGGCCAATGATCACCGACCTCTGGGTGCGAGCGGCATGGAAGCATTCCGCAAGATGACACAGAAGAGCAAGAAGCGGGCATAGAGGACAATATGGGTTGGGACATATGGCCTTGTCTCTTGGTATTGCGCGAGGATGCCGAGCCGTGAGCTCGTCTCTAATGGTTGCTTGTGCTATATGGAGATGGTATGTATTTTAGGAATTACGGCGTCAGGAATGGATAAACTGAGTAAACCTTGTGAAATCTTGCTGCTATGAGAAGATGATGCTATGCCGTGTATGCGAATGCCGTTCGCCGTAGGTAATTGTAGCTCGGTGTTGGAGATGGGCTACATGCAGAGAATCTGGATGTCTTAGATTTTGGTTACATTGTGGTTGGCATGTGGGTGGGTGTTGTCGGGGTGCGCCTATGTGCATACTGTACCTCTGATCTACCAAGGTACAGCACTAATAAAGTATCGGACTTGGCCATGATCAGCTGAAAAGTCAAGGTATGTTGAGTTGGCAGATTCTTTGAAGCTCTTCAATTGTCTGACCCCTGATAAGTGACATAAAGTTGTCGGTACTTGGTAGATTAAGTTAGTAGGTAGTTTCTCAGTAGCTCGGCCACGGACATCCAGCCTGCGGTGACGCTTGCTGCGGACGGTTTCGATTTCTTTTCTTGCATTTATTTTTCTGGCCATTAGCATTCTGGAATGAGTTTGTATGAACAACCAAACAACTGACTGAAAACTTAGTTGAAGCTGTGAAATGGTGTATTGGCTTTTTGGTCAAAGCCATGCGGTCTGACTGGCGAGACAATGGCTTTCGCATACGTCATGACACGACTCATTTCCGCGCTCCACTAAGCTGGGTGCTGCAACCACTGTAACCTTGGTGGACGCGCAGGGCCTTCCTTGGACCAACCTACCTGGCATCAGGCTTTTATTACTATTATTATAGTTAGTAGTAGGGTAAGAGGGTTATCATTGCATCGGTCAATCATTGTCAAGATTTAACTGCCCCCGCCCTATCCCTCGCCGTAGCTCCGCTACGCTGTATGAAGGTACCTGCTACCTGCCTTTGATTGATGAGGGGAATTCTGAGGTACAACTGTAGCCGATCTGTTTCTCGACCTCGTCCTTTTGTTTTTTTTTGCCGTGTGCATCATCCTTCCGCCAGCCACAATCCGTGCCTATTTGCTGCTCTTTGTTTCTACTTTTCCCTTTCGGATAAGCCAAGCTTGAAGAAGTCAAGCATCAATATACGTGCAGTCGTCATCATTCGACACCAAAACCCATCCAATAGGTAAGTGCGTGGGAACCAAACATACCTGCACCCCCCGCTTGCCATGCTGGAACAGCCCGCGCCGCCTCCCGGCTGCTGCATACACTGCATCGCTCTGAGAAGCACCAGGCTCTGCCGTTGGCCCGTTGCTGCGGCCTGCCTGCATGCATGCATGGAATACTTCCAGCCTTTCGGCCCCCCGATGCGCGCAGCGCTGGCACTCCTTCTGCCATGCAAGAGATGCTGTTAGCGGGCATGTTGGGTCTGCATGCGTCACTCACTCACTGCAGGGCCACAACAAGCCAGCACCGCACCGCTGTCCCACAGACTGCCCAAGGCCGTAGTGATTGAGGCAGCAGCTGTCGAAAAAAAATAAAATAAAAGGCAAAAGCAAAGACGACTCTTTCACTCCTTGGTCAGGCATCACGTTGGGCTGTGCCAATTACCTACATATCTACCCAGTCCCTTATCAACGCGGGCCATGGATAAGAAACGTGTGGTGGCACGAGCATCTGACACATGGTTTTGCCTAATCGGCTGACCCAAATCTATTGCGACAGACCAGACACAAACCTATTTCTTTCGCATCCTTCACTTCGCGCCCACGCAAGGCGAACGTTTCGATTTTTGATCGCCTTGAATACAGTACGCGATTCTGCCCATTCCCGATCTGCCCGACCGACCGCGACCGAGTTCCTTTGTTCGGTATTCAGTTTACAAAGTAACCCCCCGAATGAGCCTTGTCCAGCCGCCACGCCTCAAGACCAGCCGGAGGCCGCCACTTAGATCTTTGCGATTGACCTTGTTCCATCGAAACACGACTGCGAATCACTCAGAACAACGTAATTCTACGGCGTGAGAGCTGTGCGACGACAAGATGAATGGCAACGAGGCTCTACCAGAAGCCAACCCGACACTGGCGTCCGGCGGCGTGTCCAATGGCGACAGCGTTGCTTCCAAGAAGCGCAAGAAGGACGGACTAGCACCGATTATAACGCACAGCCCTGAGCCAGTAGACAAGACCGGGTAGGTTCATTTCTCATCTTTCTATTGTTTTTTTTGCTATTATTTTCCACTCTGTGCCTTGTTCCTCGGTCGCTCCACGCCCTGCGCCAAGCGGCTGCAGCATGGAGCACGGCGCACAAAGAGCATGCTTCACTTGGAGATTTTGGACGGAGCGCCGAATCACCATGAACGCAAAGCTGGTCATGCCTCCCAACAGCTGAGACCTGACTGTCTCGGGCGACGACAAGCGGCAGTCAGGAGGCGAAGGCAAATATGGAATGGAGATGGCGCGCGAAGCCGAGCCATGTTGCGAGGTGGCAGAACGAACGAGTGACATGATCTATGGGACATGCAGGTTACAATCTGCCAAGCAGACGACTTGCCGTGCGCCTGATGAATGAAAGAGGCGCGGTTGTGTCCCGTGGGACCATGGGCGCGGTCGATCTGGTCCGGAAAACACGTGGGCGAGATCTCCGAGAACAGGGGAGGCAGACGGCGGGGAATTTATCCATGGTCACTGGTGAATCAGGTACAAGAAAGATGCAAACGAGAGACTTGTGAGAAGGGGTCCTTTTTTTCGAGGCTCGTGTCGGGCGGGATGCTTGCGATGCAGTCAGTGATCAAGCCATCATCGATCAAGGTGAATCACAAGGGGCTACCCATGTCTACAGGGTTGATGGGGCTATGCTCAGGATAGCTGCTTCTTTTTTTTGGGCTGCTTGCTGATGGACTTGCGGGCGGCAGTGGAAGCTGATTCCTGCACTGTCGTGGAACCTGGACACTGTTCTTTTTCTTGGACACGGCACCTTTGTCTCTCTGGTGAGCGCGTCCTTTTTTTAGCGGCATCGCCATTGGGTCTGGGTCCGGGTTGGCCTTGACTTGCGCTAGCACTGGCCTACCACCCAACTCAAAGACTGAAGACGGGCTCTCCAAGGAAGGACGCTGATTATGCTACGGCTACGTCAAGCTCTGCATCGAGCTCGTCTGTCGGCAACCTTGCTCGCTGCCACCACAAGCTCTTCATCGCAACACCCATCATCTTATGAGCGTCTTGTCGTCTTTTTCAAAACAAAAGACCTCATCACCACACCACAGCACACCACAGCACACCACACCGCACACCAACCCAGGCACCTACGTCCAGGCTTTTAGTACCTTACCTACTTGCCTGGTAGGTACCTGAGGTAATAAGGTCCTTGCGCTCGTCAGCCCCGCGAACTGCTCCAGCCCGCACC